TAAAAGATTACACTAGTGTGCAATGTATTCATCCTATGATTAGCATTCAAACATGTTATCGAAGTCATACTGACTGCAGATTTGCACGTCACCATGCTTTCATCAGCCAGTGAATGAAATATTGGACGTTTGAAATCATTCCTGTCAAGAATGGACGTGATGTGGAACAGTGTTCTGATTACTCACCCTATCATGTGTCTGTCTGTTCTAATATCAAAGTGTACAACTGTTTTTCGTCTGCGATGAAATCCTCCATACAATCAAACAAAATCCCTACCAAACCAATACTTGAAAATTAATCTGATGCTCACTAGTGACTGGCCCTATTCAGGCAGTTAACCTGGGGTTCTAGTGGGAAGCCGTGACCAGTAGGGTACAGCAGGTTGAAGATGTGACAGTAACTCATCTAAGAAGACATTGCGAAATGGTCGCGCTATGTCGTGAATTGGCAGAAGTTAGAATTCAAGGACCATTGGATCAGGTCCCAGTGGCTCAATGGTCTACGAGCTCGCCTTGTAACCAGAAGGTCCTGGGTTCGAATCCCGGTGGGTGCGTACTGCTGAAGAGTCCCAAACTAGGACGAAACAGCTGTCCAGTACTCCCAGGTTTTCCAGTGGTTCTCTAACTGATGTCAGCTCATGATGAAATCCTCCATATACATATATTTCAAGAAACTGGCAAATGGTGAACGTGTTCACGCCTTGTTTTAAATTCAAAACTATTTACTAGTTTTCATGTCTTTTGTGCACATATAGGTAAATATTTTCTGAATTTGTGGTTTTCTTAGCTCATTTCTAAAGTATATATCTTACTCCCCACTGTAAAATTTCTTGATTAGTTGTTTATCCAAAAACAAACAGATTGAATTTCTGCTTATTGATGCCATCTCTTAACATAACTTGTATTTTACAGGGCGAAGCCGATTTTATGCGTATCATGAAAACTGTTGATCCACACTGTACCGGCTATGTGACCTTTGATTCGTTTATGAAATTTATGTCACAACAAACAATGGAAGCTGATACAGCTGAACAAATGGTTGACTCATTTAGAACTTTAGCGGGAGACACGGTAAGTTCACTTGTAGAATTTGCCTTTTCAAAACTTACAAATTACAGTATCGTAAGCAGTTAGGGTTTTGCCTCATAATAAGTATGTTAACTAAGTCTCTCTCCCTTCTGCAGAACCACATACAGATTTAGTTCTTAATAACAGATTCTCTCCGAATATAAATGAACTGAAACCAATCTAAGTATTAATTACCTGATGAATGAATACTGTTCCACTGGACAATAATGAATAGCTTCAAAAGGGAACTTCTTCCGATTAATAATAATAATCTACTTTATTCCAAAAACAGTACTTATAATACAGAATGGAATTCTCAGTATTTGTCACAATATTGCATCTGATTTACTCAAAATATAAATAAAACTAAAAATTAAAACAAAATTAATCGGAGGAATTTGTCCACATTTACGACATAAAGTCAAAAATATTCTAAGCATGAATTGAGATTATTAAATATAATACTAATAATAATAATAACAGTGAGTTTGTTTCAAACGGTATTGTGGAAACTATAGTATGTTATAGATTATTGGGTTTAATGTTCTGTTGGTATAGTATAGTGAGGGGAAATACAAAATTAACAGTTACAATACAGCTTAAATTATGTCCACACTTATGAAAAAAATAAACAAAACGAGAAAATTGAGAGGATTATAAATATAAGAAGTACAATAACAATAAAGTATGATGCTTTAAGGGTGAAGGAAATGGTTTATTTTGTGGTGCTAAGAAGGTTAGTTAGTTCATGTCTGACACTATTTTCATCACATAAAGTACGTGCAGAAATTCTTCTGAAAAGACTTCTTGTTTTACCTGAGGAAACACAAGGTTGGAGCTGTGGGTAGAGTGGGTGCTCAGAGTCTGACAAAATTCCTTTAGCGAATTTGTTGCATGACATCAAGTGCATTTTTCAGTGACAATGTCAACGATATGGCCCAATGGGATACCACTCGTCCTACTGACAGTCTTCAGAGTTCTACGAAGAATAACATAGTCCTTTTTAAGCAATCCAGGAAAGAATAAAGGTGAACAGTAAAGAAGAATAAGTAAAATACACGAGTTGACAAATTGTAAGAGGAGTGGTTGGGTTATGCCTGAGTGCCTTAACTTCTTAATGTAAAAATTCAGACGAAATATTCTTTTAGAAATCACTAAGACATGGGAAGACCAGGATAGGTCAGTAGAAAGAATTAATCCAAGATACTTAACTTCAGACTTGGTTTCTATATCAGTATCATCGATTTTGCAAGGGTCATAGGAACCAACGGCTTCATCTAACTTTCGTTTACATCGGAAACTGAAATTAACAGTCTGACATTTGGAAGGATTAAGTTTAAGGCCGTTAGACGGAAACCATTTGCTAATTCCTGATAGAAAGTTGTTTATCTTAGTGCAGTCAAGCTGAGGGTTACAAGACATTGAAATAGTTAGATTGTGATGAGAGGTGTAGTGGTCGATATAGTTCATCATCACGTCGAGTATGAAGACAGTTAACATGGGACAGCAGTGACATTGCACCGCGAACTGACAGTTTAAAACCACATGTAATTGGATGTTGACCCAGCAACTGTGGTAATGTGCGCATCTCAGGAACTTACAACCTGACTCAGTCGCACCCGAGTTTGTGAGTGAACACTTATGAAAATCATAGCTAGTCAGTGCTACGTAACCTTCTCTAGTGAGTATCGCTAGCTGTTGGTTTCAGAAAATTCTCTCACCCAGACTAAATCAGAAATTTAAAAAAGCCCACACAATACTTCCGTGTAATATTTTCTATAGCGAAAAATTAAATATACTTAAATGTATGAAATGAAATGTGTGTCACTACTTTAATGAAATAACTACACATATGGTTTGAGACGCTCAAAAATCAATACACACGATGAAGTTTAAAACCGTAACCCCATGGGTTAGTAACTGAATGCCCAATCCATTATTGGGTCACACTTAATTTTGGTGGATGCAGTATGCTTTTTGTGTTTGATGATAACTTAAATGAAGTCAAACAAGCTTGTTTTGTGCTATTATTTATTACCTGTTGTTTAATATACTAATATCCCAGAAAGTACCAGTCATCTCATTAAAACTCAGTTGTCCAAATATATATTGGACACTTAAGTGCTAAACTGTAAAGTTATAACCACAGCCTAATGTGCAGTATGCATTAGTTCTGGTATGTTTGAATGGTTATATTTGTTGCTGGTTTTTCTTATTTCTCCTAAATTGATATTTATTTATTGATAGACTGCGATAAAATTCTTTTTTTTAATAGCCATATATAACAACTGAACAACTGAGACGTGAACTTGAACCTGAATTAGCTGATTATTGCATTAATCGAATGAAAGCCTACAATGGACCAGATGTTACAAATGGCGGAGCTTTAGATTATACTACTTTTGCAACAAGTTTATATGGTGAATCAGAATTGTAATAATAGATAAGTTTAGCTGGTTCATACAGCTCAATAGCATTTCTTGAAAACACCTTTATGAACTGGTAGTTGGTGTTTGCATCATACTAGCATCATAGCTAGCTTTAGTAATATATACATACACATACATAATGTCATAAAGTATAGTCTAAGTAAACGACCTCTATATTCTAATTCTTTTTTGAACTGTAAAACGGTATAATACAGGATTTTGATGTATTTTCACTTTTGCCGAGATACATCGAATGTCTGGGAATAAATATCTGTATTGTGATATCTGATGTATTCTTATATTCTCTTTAAATATGTGTGGGTGGAAATTGTAAGGTATACATTTCAAAAATATTTCGGAAGTCCCTGGAAGAATAGATTTACTGAAAATAAGCTGCTGACTTATTCTCCTACTGAATAAAATCACTATGACTTGATGCACAGTATTATTAAGCAAACACTAGTTAATACCCGATAACTAGTTCATTGATGCTGAATTATAAATGGGAATTTCAGTACTATTCTGAAAGGACAGGCATACTTTTGTCATGTAATTGCCAAGTATTACTTTTGTAGGGATTTTGTTTGTTTGATTGGTTGGAGGATTTCATCATGAGCTGACAACAGTTAGCGAACCACTGGAAAACCTGGGAGTACTAGGCAGCAATACGCGCCCACCGGGTCCAGATCCAATGGCCCATGAATTCTAACTTCTGCCAATTCTCCCATGTTTCCCAATAGCTCTTTAACTGATGTCAGCTCTTGATGAAATCCTCCAACGAATTATAATTGAGCATTGACGTAGGCATCAGCGGGCATTTAGGGTAATATTTCTTTCTTTTATATCGCCAACTGATATATTCTGTATATCTAGCCTTGTATATAATTCAGTAAACAAAAGTACTGTTTACTCCTAATTGATGCATAACATACATGATTGAGAAATCTGCACTTTCATATTCAAGGAATCAATAATGATGTCTATCTGAAGTCACCTTTGAAGCATGAATTTTCCCACTGACGAACGAAATTAGACTGAGTAACATGAAACACTTAAAATTGACTTAGTCCAAGTGACAAAATGGGAAAACAAATGAAACTTTAAAAAGAAAACTAGAATGAAGTAACAAAACAATGAGAATTAATGGTGATCAAAACTTGGAAGATAAAAGGTGGAGAAATTCTATTTCAAGTCATACTTATTAGTTTTCAATTACTGACATCTGCCGTCTAAAAAGCCCCAACCACAAAGTCAAATAACGCTATTCACAACTTGAATTAGTAGCCAAAAGTAAAAGCTTTCGCTAACGATACGTTTGACCAATCAAAGGTATTTGCCCGTATACTGTACACAGGAGTACTATATGTTAAAGCAGACATATTTAATACGTAAAAATACATTTTACTATTTCAAAATACTTTTATTTGATTTGACACCATGTACAATATGAAAGCACTTCCTCCTGAATATAAAAAGATAGCGGGAAAAAATAAAATCGAAAAGTTACGTTGTTTCTAACAATGGGAATGTCCACAGATTTAAACGATTTTCACGTGGTATTAATGTTAGTTTTCCCTTCAAAGGTAACTGAGTTTTTTCAACCACTGCAGGGCTATCACTTTCACCTGATGTTGTTATACCAGTAACTGGTGGTGTCATTATAGCAGCTTCAGAATCACTTAATACTTTCTCATCACAGCTAGTACTACTATCACTGTCGGTCGAAGTCTCTGGGTTATTTACATTGGAAAAGTAATTTTCACCTGTGGATACTTCCGTTGTACTTTTTACTTCAGATTTCTTGAAAGTCGGTTGTTTAACTCTTCGTTGACCAGAAGAAGTAGCTATAATAGGTAGGCTAGGATGCACACTTACACTATTTGCACTATCCGAATGAGCTCTCCAGTAAGATATGGAATATGTCGGACTATTTTCAGCAAATTGTCTAATGCATTCAGGTAAATCATATACACAGACGACACCAGTTTGACTTCCAGTGAACAAATAACGACCAGTGCTAAAAATAAAATTATACATCGACTGTTTAAAAAATATTTGAAACAAACTAGTAAAATCATATATTATTTGACAATAAACCCCAAGTTCATTCTCCCTATGACGCTATAAGGATGTGTACAATTTTCAGTTGAAAAAATTTCTCAAGAGTGTATCTTGCTCCATTTGACAGATATATAAGAACTTCCTTTATGTAGTAGAAGAAACATTTTCCGATTGAGTCGATTTAAATGCTAATACCAGCATTCTAAAATACACTGCTTATTCAAAAAAGGAGATAATAAACAGATAGCATTGATAAAAAGAAATTTTCGACGAACCATTTTCAGTCGTACATATATTCAACAAAGAATCCATAAGACCGATCAATTACCGGTAATTATGTCCTATGATATGGTTTATGTAGCGTGCGGAATTATCTAGAAGCGCATGCACATTTGTTGATTAATAAACTGTAATTGGTATCACGCAATAGATATGAGAATGACCTGATCGATCTTAATGTGAAAAATATATGAGTAGTCTATTCACAACTAGAAAGGAAAATTAAAAATACAAAATTATGATAAGAATATTGGGCTAGACACGGTGAGGCAAGTGGATGTATGCTTTCATATTTAGACACATCAAATTTAGCGTTCCTAATTGCCGATGATGTGGCTGTGTATAGATAGAATATTCGAAGTATTCTACTGCAATATTGGGGAACTCTGTACATCACTGTGAAGCAGTCATACAGAGGTGTCCAATGTCTAGCGTTAACAAGGTGTTCGAGAATACAGCAACTAATATTTCTCTTCTGGCTAGCTAAACCGCACAATATCGTCACATTACGCTTATGTACTTCATCCTATGCACAACCGATGCACTTTGCTCTACAGGGAAATGTATGTTATGAAATACACATTGAGATGACCAGTTTTGTTTTCTGATCAGTGGGAAAGTTCGAAAAGTTAATTAACTGTCTAGTCCACATTGGACTTTTGTACGTTGATATCCTGACTGAATTATGTGGTTTTCCAGTAAGTAGTACATCTAGAACTACAAAAGGCTAATTCAATTCTTGTCTCTGAGTAAATTTTATGGAAGGGTAAGCTGCGTTGAGTGTTGAAGAAATAGAAGTATCATCTACATATCTTCTGTAAAGGTGAAGTTGAGACGAAAAATGTTTGAGGACTTTATTTTCAAGAATGATCATGAAACAGTCTGCTAGGAGTGAGCCAAGAGGAGATCTCATGGCCATGCCATCATCCTGTATGCATAATTGTTGGTTGCACTGCAACTGAAGTCTAACGGTGTAGTCTCTCCAGAGAGATAATTCTCTACGCTGATTAAACCATATCCTAGAATATAATTATCAGTATTCGAATGATTTTATAAATTCTTTATTGAATATAAATACAATTGTACAGCTTTTGGAAATGTTTCGTCGAGAATTTTCCTCTTCTCTTTTATTACTCAATTTGGTAAATACGATAGAAAAGAGTACTGTGAAGGAGTTTTCGATGAATTTTTATTAACATTTTGTAAAAGGAAAGTCAGAAAAACAAACGAACCCCGCTTCCAGACCGGAAGTTGTAAATTCTCTAATACTGACTATCACCTCAGAGCAGTAAACACACGGTCTTTTGTGTGTCGTGGCCATCTATGTAGTATATATAAAGTCTTAAAAATGATTTCCCATATACTTATCATCATCGCTTGACTTTGTTATTTTATTTTATTATGATCACTATTCTAGCGAATTCAATTAACTTATTTGCATCTTGGTTTTCTTTAGTAATTCATCTAGCTATCACCTGTTGCTAACCCCTACAAATTAACCCATCTTAAATTCTTTTCGGTGAATTCATTCACATAGCTGTACAATCGCATTTATATATAAATATTTGTGTGTGTGTGTGTGTACATGAGGTTTGTCAAGTTTAGATAATTGATTAGTTAATACAAGAATGATGTAGTATAGAGACAAAGTTAATCAGACAGCAACTAAAGTAAGACTGAGTTAAAAAACTAGATGACGTAATATAATTGGCTAAAATATTACAACTTAGGTCAGGATAGCAACAAAGGTAATTACAGGTAGAGATTAAGTAGAAGTGAAATTGAGTGAATAAGTTGGATGACGTAACATGAATGACTAGAAACTGAGCGTTGTTCAAGTCAGTAACAGTGGTAGTGGGGTGTAGAGATTGAATCGGGTGGGGGTAGAGAACAAGAAAGTTGAAAATGTAAAATGAGAAGACAAAATAATACTAATGAAGAGACAGAAGAAAAGATTAGGTAGAATTTACATGTCGGCTAATAAGATAGATTACGTCCATTGCAAGTGTAGTGATTGAACGAACTTCTTCTGTATGCAGAGTTCAGGACTTAGCAAGTGAATCGCCATTGCTTCTGCAGTTTGAAGAAGTCTGATTCGTACACCTTTAGGGAGACTACTTCTTACTCTGTAGATGACTTTGAAGTTTGTTTGCGGTGTAGCTTGGTGTCCGGACTCTATCAGATGTTCTAAGATGGAACTGCGGGGGCATCGATTTTCTCCTTTGTAAAACCATGTTGGTAAGTGCTCGGTGATACGTTTGGAAAGCAAGCGCTGGGTACGGCCGATATACCTGGCTCCACACGAGCAGGTGAATTGATAAATGCACATTGATGAGGCCAGCAGCGGTAGCTTATCCTTCACGTTCACATGAATCATAGGTTTTGTGGAGAAGGTTAGTCGTAGTTGAGCTGCGAAGAAGGTCTTCTTAAGTGAGCGCGACAGTCGATTTTTTAGTGTTTCCGCAGATAAATCTCCATTGAATTGGAGGTTCATGTAGAGTAGTTTTTTCTTGACGCTAAGTATGGGCGGCTTTTCTCCTTGCCGAAAAGAGTCTCGTCGCTGAATGTCTTCTCTTTTTCATATGACTCAATGGGGATTTTCAATCTAATCAAACGGTGCAAGGACCCAGTGACGGTGAAGGAGCTGGATGGTTTCCTGCGTTACTCCGTCAAGCTTGCGGTAGCGAAGACAAAGATTGAATTCTTAAGAGATTGTATAGATAGACATGAGTATCCAAAGATGTATTGGAAGTCACTCAGACGCAACCACATCCAACCGAATACCAGAACACTCAGACGACACACACGAAACAACATCGACTCCATTCAATCACGCGTCCCCGAGCTAGAGCGAAACGTCTACTCAAGAACTCATGTAGTCGAAGACTTAGATCAAGAACTACGCCATTCCTTCGAAGAATATGTACAACAAGTCACTCAGAAAGAATGTAACAAGACTAAAGCAGATCTTCTCAAAAGCCTAAAGCCTACAATTAATATCGAATCTCCGTTCCCAAGCAATCCAGAAAAGTACGTATTCAATCTTTCAGACATCAAACTGTCTACTACTCAACTAGAGGCACTATCTCTAGGTCCAAAGTTCTGCGTAAAACCACCAAGTATTGACAAGCTACAATGCCAGGTTCAGTTCGAAAATCTAATAAACCAAACTTACGATCTCACACCTGCATCAGACGAAAACCTACAACAATTCAAAGCATCAATCCTCGACTGTTGTTACAAGTTTATAAATACCAAACACAACGGAAGGTCCATCTTGACGAAGAGGCACCATAAGGAGCTGAAAGAACTTATGAAAAACGAAGAGATTATGATATTACGTCCTGATAAAGGCGGAGGAATCGTAATCATGAATCGCAACGACTATACTAGTAAAATGCTGACTATACTATCCGATGAATGCAAATTCACAAAACCGATCAACGAGAAAAACATGACGGAACAGACCGAACAAAAGCTAACGGACACCCTTCGTAAGTTGAAGACTGAATCCTTCATCAGCAACGAAATGTTCGAATCCCTTAGACCGTCTGGCTCAAATATACCACGACTTTACGGACTCCCGAAAGTACACAGGAAGGGTATCCCTCTCCGACCGATCCTCGACATGACCAATTCACCCTATCACCGCACAGCTCAATGGTTAGCAGATCTACTTGAACCAATCAGAAAACCAGTCTCCTGCCACACAGTGCGAGATTCATTCGACTTTATTGACTCAATCGAAAACATTAACGTATCCAGCAAGACAATGATTTCATTAGATGTCACATCACTATTTACAAACGTTCCACTGACTGAAACAATATGCTATATATGCGAACTTATTCACTCCAAAGGAATAAACATCGGCATACCCACCGAGCATCTTAAAGAACTCCTACTGAGGTGTACCCTGAATGTTCAATTTTCTTTCAACAACGAAATATATCGCCAAAAGGATGGTATAGCTATGGGCTCACCACTAGGCCCTTTGCTTGCAGATTTCTTCATGGCAAAACTCGAAAACACATGCCTGAAGAAAATGATCAATACCTTCGAAATCTATAAAAGATACGTCCACGACACCTTCATCATCGTCAACAACGAAGAAAATCTAGACGACATCTTAAAGTCGTTTAACAACTGCCACCCTGTAATTCAGTTCACGATGGAGAAAGAGTCCAACTCCACAATATCTTTTCTTGACGTCCAACTAACCAGAAGAGAACAGGATGGAACACTGAGAAGATCTATCCACAGAAAATCGACGTGGAACGGACAGCTTACTAACTTTCACAGTTGGGTACCACTATACACCAAACGAAACCTGATCCGTTCACTCAGCTACAGAGTTCGCAGAATTTGCACCCCGGACACCATAGAAGATGAACTGGACAACCTCAAGAGAATCCTCGTCGAGAATTGCTATCCAGAAAGATTTATTGCAAAATCTATGAATCCTAGACCAGAAAAGCCGCCCATACTTAGCGTCAAGAAAAAACTACTCTACATGAACCTCCAATTCAATGGAGATTTATCTGCGGAAACACTAAAAAATCGACTGTCGCGCTCACTTAAGAAGACCTTCTTCGCAGCTCAACTACGACTAACCTTCTCCACAAAACCTATGATTCATGTGAACGTGAAGGATAAGCTACCGCTGCTGGCCTCATCAATGTGCATTTATCAATTCACCTGCTCGTGTGGAGCCAGGTATATCGGCCGTACCCAGCGCTTGCTTTCCAAACGTATCACCGAGCACTTACCAACATGGTTTTACAAAGGAGAAAATCGATGCCCCCGCAGTTCCATCTTAGAACATCTGATAGAGTCCGGACACCAAGCTACACCGCAAACAAACTTCAAAGTCATCTACAGAGTAAGAAGTAGTCTCCCTAAAGGTGTACGAATCAGACTTCTTCAAACTGCAGAAGCAATGGCGATTCACTTGCTAAGTCCTGAACTCTGCATACAGAAGAAGTTCGTTCAATCACTACACTTGCAATGGACGTAATCTATCTTATTAGCCGACATGTAAATTCTACCTAATCTTTTCTTCTGTCTCTTCATTAGTATTATTTTGTCTTCTCATTTTACATTTTCAACTTTCTTGTTCTCTACCCCCACCCGATTCAATCTCTACACCCCACTACCACTGTTACTGACTTGAACAAAGCTCAGTTTCTAGTCATTCATGTTACGTCATCCAACTTATTCACTCAATTTCACTTCTACTTAATCTCTACCTGTAATTACCTTTGTTGCTATCCTGACCTAAGTTGTAATATTTTAGCCAATTATATTACGTCATCTAGTTTTTTAACTCAGTCTTACTTTAGTTGCTGTCTGATTAACTTTGTCTCTATACTACATCATTCTTGTATTAACTAATCAATTATCTAAACTTGACAAACCTCATGTACACACACACACACAAATATTTATATATAAATGCGATTGTACAGCTATGTGAATGAATTCGCCGAAAAGAGTCTCTTCGCTGAATGTCTTCTCTTTTTCATATGACTCAATGGGGATTTTCATCCATCTTAAATTCCATAGTTGTTTCCACTGGTCCAACACCTTAAAGCCAATAATTCTTATCGACTAACAAATCCTTACATGATTAGTATAATTTTAATGTTAAACCAACGTATATATATATATATATATATATATATATGTATATATATATATATATAGTTGAGTGTAGAGCTGTTGATGAGGAACTAATTGAGAAGGAATATGTGTTTCTCCGGTCAATTCTTTACAAATTTTAAGGGATCTTGAGAATTATAGATCTGATTACACAAATGAGATAAATAACTAAGCGTTGTGCACCACTTTTAATTATAAATTTGAATACGCATTGTGTAAACAAGTGGTGGCTTTGTATGTCGGTGGTCCGGTGGTAGACTTCTCACCAACCACACACGTAGGACTGAGTTTGATTCCCCTCCGATGCACTTCTAAACCTCGCTTAGCCGCTAGTAAGCCCGGAAAAGATGAAAGGGTAAGTGTGAGGCTAGCAAACCCACCCCGTAAAAATGAATACCAGAGCTACTGGAACTTGGAACTCAAGCTTGAAGGAAAACGTATGGGAGAAAAACAAAAGTGAGCTAATACTAGAATTCACTACTGCAGAATACAAGGGATTATCCTAAACACGATTTTTTCAATCGATCTAAAATCATCTCCAGCTCTTCAGTTTACGATGTAGATCCATATACGGTAAAAGATAATGACAGCTCCACAATCGAACCAAACAGTTAAGAGAACGCAACACAACTAGGAATAGTATTAGCCTGGCTGGTTTGGGACGTTTAAGAAAGTTGTCGTGACATTTATACAAAAGTCTAAATCGAGATATAATACTTTGCTTGCTATTGGAAACATATGACGTTTCAAAATCAATACATAACCACTAGCAGTACATTTGCTCACAAGACAACTAAACTCCACAATCATTCTTTGCATCCACATAATTTTATACTTTATCATTAGAAAAAGGAGGAATGCTAAAAGTATTTTGGCAGTGGTACATGAAGTTGTTTGATGTAATCAGAAATTGTGTTTGCTTACATCGAGGATTTGACTTTTAGTCTGAAATTAGAATCAGAACCTGCGATCAATTAAAAAACCCTATCGTACTTTTCTTTATGTTAGGGAAATATTTTAGTGACTGGTAAGCAATAATTCTTTCTACTATAATCGAACGTCTGCATAAAGATAGTTGAACAAGCAAGTTCATTTAATAACACGTAGCGAGAAAAAAATAGTTAATACAATAAAAACGACAAGAAGGAGAAAACATCTTTAGTAGACTCACGGCTCTAAATCAAACTGGAATTTTTGATGATTCTCAATACGTCGGTAAACTATCGTAATAGGATCTACTAGATTTCTTGCATCCCAGACAACCAGACGTGAATCCATTCGTCCACCGGCTAAAACATACCATGGAGCAGCGTTTTCTCTACCAAAAGTCTTTGCCAGCGTCACCTGAGTAACTCCAGTTGGATGACTGAATAACTGTGCAATCAAATTGCCAGGTTCCGAAAATATGCACACAGTGCCATTATAGGAGCCTGTAGCGTAAATATTTCGATTGGGGTCATTCAAAACACCAATAGAAGATATTATTCCACCCTGGAATGGTTTTTCTGAACAACAGGAAAAGATAAAATTCTATACAGTTATTATAAGCAATCATAAACACCAACTGACATTTCTATTAGAAATAGAAACATAATGAGTACAGTCTCCAAACATACTGTTTAACTAAAAATAACCTGATAAACGGTACACAGTAGTTATTAGTCCTTTACTCTATTGCAGTTCGTCAAGTGATAAACTGATTTTAACTGGAAAGTTCTAAAAGAATCTTTCCTTTTCTTCATACAGTTGTTTCTCTTGATAAACTAGAAAAAAGCAATGACAAATTAAACAGTGAACAAAATATTACCATATTGAGTCATAAGAAAAAGACGTAAACAGCGAAGAAAATTTTTTCTTCGATGATTCATTTCCATCAGCTGTACAGTCGTAATTATATTTAACAAGGAATTAATAAGACCAATGATATATTGGTAAAATTTGTCCTCGAAAAACATATTACGTCATCTAAGGTGTAACCTAGACGGGGTGACTAATTGGGAGTTAGAAAAGAGGCAGAAGTTAGCATGACGTAATAGGTGTGAAATAATGACTAATCAGTATAATTGTGTAGAGTGGAGAACTAGTGGAAAGACGATAAAGTGTTTTTATGTAAAATCTGTATGAAAACTCAGTGCTATTGATAAACAGTAGTAGAGTGATAGTAAAGTAAAGATGATAAGAATAATAATGATAATAGTAAGCTTACATAATAAAAAGAAGCAAAATTATAGTAAGAACTTTACTCTGGCCACGGTAGAGCGAGTGAATGTATGTAGCGCTTTTAACCATCCAAGAGCAAGAAAAACTACAACCTACATAAATTTCTTACTTCCAAGTTTTGGTCGCCTGATAGAATCTGAACCAGGTCGACAAACGTCAAATACTTGAATATACCGGTGAAATCCAGCATACAGACGTGAACCATTCGAGGAAAATGATATACTAGAGGCAGACACCACTTCACCCTAAGGTCAGAAGAAAATAAACAGTGAAAACATTGTTTTATTTATTTGAATAGTAAAAGACTTATTTCATTTCACAGCAGAAAGATTTGAAAAATAATTAAAATATATAAATGCATTTATCGTAACATTTTAATTTTGTGTCGTTTTCCTTGCCAAAAAAACTTTCCCTTTAAGTGTTCATTCAGAACTTTTGTACACCAATATTTAGTCTAAAAACAAAAAACGAATTGGCGGAAGTTAGAACTGATAGGCTATTGGATTCCATCCCAGTAACTGAACAGTCTACGAGTTCATGTTGTAACTTAAGGTCTTGGGTTCGATCCCTGGTGGGATCAAGGGTGCGTAGTGCCGAATAGTTCCAAGCCAGGACGAGACAGCTGTCCATTACTCCATGTCTTTTCATTCCATGGTTCTCTTGATGAAGTCAGTTCGTAATCAATCTTGAAAAAGTGAAATAGTTAAGTTTCAAAAAATTCTCTATAGAACGACAGGAATCTTGGTAGGTATTCAGTAACCTATTACACGTGTGGTGCGGATCATATACCAAAATGCGTATTAGAAAACAAGAGTGCACCATAATTGTACTCTGCATTCAACACGAGGATATTCTCCTATTGATATCTTAAAAGCGCTGTATGTGTTGCGAAGCTAGAAGAAAAAACAATGAGTTTTAACCACTCAGTGTATTATAAACGTGAAGGAAATAAAACAATTTTGTGCATTTCGAGTTACCAGCTAACCATATTTCAGGCGTTATTATTTATTTAGTTCAAACACAAACTCGCTAAGATATGGGCACCAAAAGATGTGCCACATCACAAAACAATAATAAAACAGCAATATATAAAGAAAATAAGCAGATAATATATGAGGGATGTCATCCAGAATGCATATTTGTCAAGACCATTCAACTTTCATTAATTCATGGTACTTCCAAAAAGAGAAGAAAGAATTGGTGATGTACCAACCGATTCTAACCTTACACAAATATCCTTCATACCACGAAGTGACGTCATAGGCTAACTACGTCTCCGCTCTTCCCATCAAGTCTCATGAGTAGCGAACAAAGACCGGTGCGGAAGCCTTTGACATTCGTAGCACATGTCCGAGTCACCGAGGCCGGTGTTTTCAGATGACAACACTCAATGAATGGTGATCTCCACTGGGTCCAAACATACGCTTCCGAACCTCAGGATTACTCAAAAGGTGATACCATAGAACTCAGACAAGTCTGCGGAGACAGCGATGACCGAATACGCAGAGTCACCTGACACCTTCAACTCGGACAGGCCAGGTTTCACAGGTGTATAGCAAGAATGGAATTCTAAGAAGTTACTATGAGAAGAACACAATAACCTGTTGGAGAAAACGTGTTGTTAGTCCTTTCACTAAGGATGCTAGTACCATTTTTATGAATCCCTCGGACTACGTTACTACAATTTCCTTATTATCAGATAATAACATTCTGAAAACAAAATACTAACACGGAAACAACTGCACAAACTGAACAAAATATGAAAGATTCTTGAAAAGACAAGTCGATATTCAATAGCAATCCGTCTGTTTCTGTCATCCGATGAATTCAAGTACTACCAAACGTATATAATAAAGACATCTGTCTTCATCCGATATCGCCTTATCCTTTGTTCGCTAAAATTACCGAAAACTCACATTTTAGCATACTTAATTTACACAACTTCATTGAGTGTCGACAAAGTCAATTCATCTGGAAAGTAGATACTCTCTCAGGTTACTTTACTATTCCCAGATGTTCTTTTACGTGGAAACCATATGTCTAACATGCAAATTAACCAACTAATAATCCCGTAGACAGTACGCCAAACAATTATCACAGGAATCACACATAAGTGACGTGCAACTACGTTACACCAATGAAATTCTACTGAAAAACAAATAAAGTAGTAATGGATCACCAATTAACCTGTCTTAAGTCGTAAAGAAAAAGGCTGTATGAATGACACCATTATCGTTTGTTATTAAATAAAAAAGTAATTTCAATCCTACACAACGGATGTTCAATGAATATCAACTTTATAAGAGAACCAGAAGGCGGTCTGAAATTTAATTTCCTGTACATTTCACTGAAATAAAAAATGTGATACCTCTTTTCAAAATCAATTTACAAGAATTAAGAATAACTCCTTAAATTGAATACAATTGATTTAAAGAACCACAAAATATGATGCACTTTGTGAAAAAGGCAGGTAATGACATCTTTAGATGAACAAACTTAATAATGACTACCATGTAATCATTTTGCAGAGCATGCACCTAAAACAATGCAAACAGTAAGAGGCTATTTCTGAATACTGAACTCAAGATGAACATTGTGCGTCGGTGGCACAGCGGTTAGGACTCTTGCCGATCATTCACATGGTCCGGGTTTCAATCCCCGGTCCGACACACACACTTGATATCAATGGTCGGCCTGCTAAATTTTGGCTGCTGATATCACATGCTAAAAAATCCATAGTTGTACCAAAAAATAAACCATTCATTGATGATACATTTTTTTAATCATTCAGTTAAATGAAAACTACTCAGAAATGAGTAAAACTATTTTAAAAAATATTCACATTTTACTCACCATGTGATTAACGGGAATATAGGTTGCACGAATCACACCAGTAAATGCATCCCATAATCGAATTGGATTTCGTCGACTAGTACTAGCCAAACTTTAATAGAATGCATGAAAAATTTAACATTTACATCCAATAAATAAAATCTCAGTAAAGAAGTAAGAAAAGAAACAAAACCAATACAGACCAGCAAAACTATGGACAAATTAACTAATTTACGGGCTGACAAAGGTCTCTTGACGCTTATTAATCAGATTTTGTAAACAATCAAAAGCATATTATGGCAAAATATACTACAGAATGTTTGGCAGGTAACTGTAAGTAATTCCTTCCATCTTGTATCCACTGTTTCACTACAAATATGCAATGTCAATACAGAGTAGGAAAGTATAGGTAAGCAGAAAATATCCGTACAAAGCTTTTTACCATAAACAAAACATGAAATAGAAAGGGGAATAAAAGAAGAAATTTTCTTCAACGATGGAGTCATCTTTAAAGGCTGCACAGCAACATTAATCTTTGATGAAACGTATAACACTCTATTATCCGATGATAATAGAGAGGAAGGACATAATTGAGACAGTAATCCAGAAATGATTTCTAAAAACAGAAAAAAATTGCTCAGTAACAAGACAATAAAGTTAAGGGCTTGAAAAGCAAGTTTCTGTCTCGGTCGGTTTTCGACATAGAACTTTGCACATATGTGCGGCAGTTCAAGTCGCCACACTCCATGTAGCACACAAAGCAAAAGAAGAAAGTAGAAGAAATGCATAATATAGACAGTAAACAGAGGTGTGAGACAAAGGAATAGTAATAACGGAGAACAAAACAGTTTCATTGGAAATCATAAGTCACAAGGAGTGGATGCATCTGCGCCAGCCATTGAGAACAATTTTGAGCCATGTCACCAATTGTTTCCAACCATTGGTTTTTACCGTCCCGAGGACCCCAACCAGGAAGTCTACATCTTCCTACGTGGCTTAGACTAAGTGTTGTGGATTTCATTGACTGGTGCCATGTTTTCGTTTGACCGCCGCTAGCTCTTTTCCAGCCTGGCCCGAAAAGCAAGTTTAATAACATAGAATTTAACATTGCAGAACAAAATTGATTTAGAATGACAAGTAGTGGGACGAGTGAAATAATACCGGGGACAATTCAAAGTGAGAATAGTAATAGTAGCAATTGACGTAATAGTGGAAGAGTATACAAATTGAATAAACGAAACAAAAAATAAGTAGAGATAAAGTTTAAGTGGGTATTATCATGCTTTAGTACAGAGGGATTGAGACCATGGAAGTTGAAGGGGTTGAAAGAAGATTTTCTGCATACAGACATCTGACTTCTCTTCTTCGATAGCCAAAAATTCAGCAATGCAGATGAGTTAGATACGTGGTGATTTTGGGCGAATTACTACAATCTTCAAGGTGAAAAGTAAAAAGGCGAAATAGAGAAGTCAGATGTCTGCATGCAGAAAATCTTCGTTCAACCCCTCCAACTTTCATGGTCTCAATCCCTCTACACTAAAGCATGATAATCCCCACTCATACTTTTTCTCTACTTGTTTTTTGTTTTGTTTATTCAATTTGTATACTCTTCCACTATTACGTCAATTGCTACTATTACTATTCTCACTTTGAATTGTCCCCGGTATTATTTCACTCGTCCCACTACTTGTCATTCTAAATCAATTTTGTTCTGCAATGTTAAATTCTATGTTATTAAACTTGCTCTTCATCCAATAAAAATGTTTACCTTGTGAAATTTCAAACCCTTAACTCCATTGTATTGTTACTAAGCAACTTTTTTCTGTCTTTAGAAACCACTTCTGGATTACTGTATCAATTATGTCCTTCCTCCCTATTATCATCGGATAATAGAGTGTTATACATTTCATCAAAGGAAAATGTTGCTGTGCAGCCTTTAAACATGACCCCATCGTCAAAGGAAATTCCTTCACTGGCTTTCTTCGTGACTTAATAGGTACTCCCTATATTTTTAAAGGCGTATATTTGACTAACCGATACTTCAGTACAGTGGCACACCAAAGTCACGAAAAGCCGAAATAATCGAAAATAAATTCTATAGTATCTCTCGGGAATGTAATACGAGTTTGTTCTCTGTACCAAACTGTAACCCCCGCTTAAAATGTGACGCCTCATGATACGATACATTCGAGGAGCCTACAGTAGGTGAATTGAGGTTCGAACTCTAGATGCATTGGCTAAAGGCAGAGTTCACAAACTGACCCATTTAATAGGATTATTATTAATAGTACTGTTCACACACGAACTTGGAGCATTATGGATACCACAAAATATGTGATAAACGAAATTACTGAACGGCAATATAAAAAAGAAGTAAAACAGCCGGGGGAGAACAGAATGAAACAAGAGATAAGTATAACTATCAAATACATTCAAAGAAGAGTACATCACTTTTTAATGCTTTCCGTAGCATAAGAAATAAGGATATAAAAGCCTTTTCGCCAGTAATTTCGATTTTAGGCCGTTTCTGATAACATATAAGGTCATTAAGTCACATGATTTTCTACTCCCTATAACGAAAAATATGGTGCATCAGCAGATGCAAACCAGATAAAACTAATCTTCATGGATTGACTACTTCCCCTGGGGCTATAAAAGTGTACGGTATAGGATCCACTAGAATGCCATTCGCAACACACATCCTAAACACTGAAGTCAGTGTCCAAAGTTGGTACCATCTACTGTTCAAATATGCACAGCACGTTCTTGGAGTTACTTGCATTTTGTTGTCGCCAGATGCAAGCAGTTCTCCGGAAACAAAATGATAGAAAGTGGAAGGTTGCTGTACATAGTCAGTTCAAGGAGAACAATTTCACAAGCGTTGAGCAAAACTACGCGCAAAGAAGCACTGTAAACCCTATCAAACATAACAATACTTCTAACACTAGTTAATTCTTGTTGTGGCGTGTGCTATACAAATGCAGATTGATAAGAAACGGTTCAAAATTGAAATCAACATTTTAAATCAATGGCCGCAGGTTTAAAAGTGTTGATTCCTCAAATCCGGATTTAGTTTACGTTGTCGTCTAGAGATGATCTCATTGGACAACTTTCCATCCCTTGGGCTAATTGCCAACCAATCAGAACAGTTAGTTGTGGTTAAAAATGTATAAATGTGACGCGTTTTCTCTTAATAAAAGAGTCCGTTACCACTTCTCTTATTTTCTGCCGTAACAGTATGACTGCATGAAAGCCTCTCTAATCACGCAGTCTTCCCTTGAAAAGCTAGTCAAATTTATAGTGCCACAATTTTCCCAATTCTAACATCTGTTGTTTTATCAGTGCCTTTAGAATATTGGTGTGATAAAGCCCAACCAGAAAATCATTTATATGTGTGTACTCGGGACTTTAGGGTTCCGGTAAATAACCTGAAATATGTGACTAAACGCTATTCAAATTGCTGAAGTTTAATTAGGTGATTAGTATCACCATTCTTGACAAAATATGCTTTCTGAATAGTATATGATAGTATATTTTCTACTAAACATAACTTTTGTATTTCCCTGGACAAAAATGAAAGTAAACAGGTCTTTTGTAAAACATCAATTAAAAAACTGGCTGATAATTTGAGCCTACAACCTGTATAGGCAACCAGGTGTTTATAGGTATATGATGGTTGAACATGTATAAAATAAAACATGGATGGTCACAAAGTTACATGAATGGACCCCAATTCCATACCACTTTTTTATTTAAATGCAAACTTGGTACAATAAATACGGGCACCAAGAGATGCATCCCAATTAGGCCACCAACAATGATGCGAAACAGGGAGACCAGAAAGTGAAAAGCCTTCTGAAACATGTGCAAAGTTCTTATATTTAACAAAGAAAAATATGCACAAATCTGATTTACTAGGAAATACAAATGAACATCATGTAATTACTAATGACAATGATACTTACCAACAACTAACAGGATCGGAAGAGCACATTTGTGGGTACCAACAATAGTCGTAAATCAATTCATTTTCATACATAGTTAGAACAGATCTCTGGAAAAGTAAAATAGCTAGATGATTGACCTACTACAATAATATATCATCATATCTTGAAAATTTAATTAAGAGTACGTTTAACATTAGATTAGATTAGATCAACTTCAAGATACATCACCTTCACAGTATTTTCTAATGTTTTGAGCACTCAAATCAAAAGACCTATTTGAAATGATAGAGATTTGTAGTTCAGATGGATTTACTCAGTGTTGTGTTCTCCAAGCTACATGGTTTAATTAAATCACTATCCAACTCAGAGGACACAACAATACCAAAGACCTATTATTCTTTAAATGCCTTAATTGAATACCTAAGAGTTCTATACATCTATGCCATGTATCAATCTATTTCTACCATTTAATACAAGATTTAGTAACCTTGTAAAAACTTAGTTCACATGGATTATTCAAGACCCATCAACTACTTAAGTCTATCAAACTCTATAATCTCATATGACTTATTTGTTGATATTTATTGAACCGATAATATGCATCTATAAGCATTAATTTTACCATTTGTCTTCCATACTGTTCGGCCAATTTCCATACCACTGGGCAGTTGACTGGTGGTTTTTATTTAACACTGATTGGTAGGATTACCAATAGTTAGCCCTCAATAAGCACCCTTAGATTAAATCTTGCAAACATGGTAACTTAGCAAATAAATTTTTCTTCCTATTTTGATTGAACACTAGTCAGTAACTAGTGTAATGGGTCTAGTCCTATCTTCGGTGCAGACTGAATTCTATCAGTCATGTTTGCAATGTGGCCACTATGCTAGGTGGCCCGCCATTACGGACTGACTGACTAGTGTTCAATGAAAAATATCGAATACAGTCCTACAGGAGGTCAGACGCGAGCCTGAATAGCTCAGTGGTAACGTCTCTGACTGCAGCACTGGGTGATGCGGGTTCGAATCTCAGAAGGGACATCAGTTCCTTTAAGGTTGCAGGTACGCCTTGCTGATGAGTGCCAACTAGCACGAAACCTAGGTCCAAGGCTTCCTGCCGATTGCCTCCAACCATCTAATACCGAACGTTTCTTCCAAATATTAACTAGTGAAATATATTTTCAAGTGTTGGTTTTGTAGGGATTTTTGTTTGATTGGTTGGAGGAATTCATCATGAGCTGACATCAGTTAGACAACCACTGGGAAACCTGGGGAGTACTGGATAGCTGCTTCGTCCTAGTCTGGGACTCTTCAGAAGTACGCACCCACCACCAGTGTTCGAAGCCAGGACCTTCTGGTTATAAGGCGAGCTAGCTCGTAGACCACGGTCCAGCTGAAGATTCCCAAACTAGGCTGACGAAACAGTTATCCAGTACTCCCAGGTTTTCCAATAGTTCTCTAACTGATGTTAGCTAATGATGAAATCCTCCAACCAATCAAGTGAAATATGTGTTTAACAATTTACAACAATTCACATAGTTGGAACAGCTAGTAAAATAACTGGTTTACATAATTATTCCCACTAAGTAGTCTCAAACAGCCTTAAATATCACTACTAACTGGTTGAAACTCTGATTATCTTCAAGGCATCCCACTGTCGAACACTGACTTTTCAACACTGATTTATGCAAAATAAGTCACGCGAGAAAAAGATGAATGCATCCATAAAAAAGCACGATATACATACCATTTCTTCCGGTTCAGAAGAAACCTCTATATCAGGTGATAAAATCGATGAAGGGAGATTGAAAAGCCGGAGAACATTATCATGACTATTAGTTAGAATACAAGAGCCATCTGGTGACCTAAGAGAAAATAAAATTGTACCAAAATTGTTCATGTACCAGTTATCAAATGAAAAACTGACATTTAGAATCAATGAATAGTTGGTGATCTGAAATAATTAAGTGGTACTACTGGAATAGTTACTGTTTCAAAGTGGTTCTCTCATTGCAATTCGGAATCAGACTTGCAAACATCCAAAATTAAGTGCTGCCTATTTAACTTATATCTATATTTATTAACGGTAGCGGACACCAATGAACCAACAACAACAAAACTTATAGGACCAGATATAACCTAATTTATTTCCAGGAAATCAGCCCGAATTTCAAATGGTAAACAATTTTAACTTCTGAAAACTATTTGGTCACAACTCCAAACTCTTCGCCTCCAGCAACTGGATATTGTAAATAGTCATGAATTCAGTGTGACATAACGTGGCATATAAACCTAAACCAGGTCAATTATTGATAATTTATTCCCTTGGCTCTAGCAGCGCACCTCAATTCCACTCAGTTCTCCGCCGTCACTTTCGGCTGACTCTACAATTGCCTATATGCTTTTCTCCTGACACAATCTTCTCCATATCACTCTAGGACACCCATTTCATGGTTTCCCATTCAGGTTTCACTCGAGGGCTTACCATGTGATACCACTCAACGAACAGTCTCCTCAGCTTTTGGCCAATCCATCTCTATTCCCTTTGGCATATTTGTTGGGTAATAGATTCTTGGTTGGTTCGTTGCTAGAAATCTTTGTTGTTTACTCTTTCTGGACATCTGATCTTCAGTATGGAGCAAAGGTAACTGTTGATTAAGGTCTGGAGCCTGTTGGAGATGCTTCTGGTGATGTGCCAAGTTTCTGAACCATAGAGGTCCACTGACTTGAAGATCCAGATCTTGTTCATCATGCTGAGTGCAGCAGATTTCCACTGACTTAATATGAATGAAGATCTGCCTTCCTTTTCAGATCTTGCCTTTGACATGCTCATCTGTGCCGCTCGCAGTTGAAACGATGACAGCTAGATAAGTGAAAGAGGTGACTTCCTTTAGATTTTTGTAATCGATATTGATTAATGCTTGATGTTGTTAGTTAGGTATCATCACCTCTGTCTTCTCTGTTTACTTGAAGTCCTGTCTTCGCCTCTGGCATCTTCTGCTACATTTTTGGTTCTCGCCCTTAATATCTTCAAGTTTGTGTGACATTAGACATAAATCATCTGAGAAGCACAGATCTTCTGTAGCCTTCTGGTCAGTCCAACACATACCTGTCTTCTCGCTCCCCGCGGTCGGTCGCATGATCCACTCCGCCACAATCAGGAACATCATCGATGACAGTGGGCAACCTTGTTTCATTAATAACGACAAATTTTCAGCCTATCAATTTCACGTAAGTTTGTCACTTACTTCAGTGAGTTCAGGAATACATTCTATTGGATTCTTTCTAGTGGTTACATATATACTACTTAAAATTAACGCATGACAGTTCAATTGGCCTGGGATGACGACTCTTTATTTTCCTCCAATCGAATCCCACTTTGGCCAGACATATGTAAAACATAGGTCTGTCACCTTAGGTATCAAGATATTATAATTATACTGACTGAGTAATCTGTATTAACCAAGAATCTGTGCCTACACCTACATTGCTCACATGTGTTTTCTACTACAAATGTGTAAGGTTACAAATACAAGTGGTAAAGTATTTGAAGTTCTGAATATTCTTTTCACATTTAATTGACTGACTGACTCGTTTCAACATAGAACTTAGCACAGAAGTGTAGCAATTCAACCTGCCACACTCCATGTAGCACACAAAGAAAGAAAAAAGATATTTGTAAGAACGATAATAAGTAGAAATGAAGAAGAAGGAATAGTAAAACAATAAGGTTTAACGGATGTGACATATCACAAAGAGTGAGTGCATCTGCGCTATTGAGGAAGACTTTCAGCCATATCACCAATTGTCTACAGCCATTAGTTCCTAACATCCTGAGGACCCCAATCAGGAAGCCTTCACCTCCCTAAGCGGATCAAACTAACTGTCACAGATTTCACGAACTGATGACAGGTTATGGTATGATCACCCATAGCTATTTTCCCACCTGATCCAATGTCAGCTAACATTGCCCATCGAGAAAGGCGATGGTCTGGCACGCGTGACACATGTCCTAGCCAACTTATCCATGTAGTTTCACAAATTCACTGACTGACTTACCCTCTTTACCTAACACTACGCCTAACCTCAATATTACTCACCATAATATACCAGCTAACACAAGAGACAGGACGCAAACATCCATGGTCAAAGAAAGAAAGCCGCTTCTAATGGCCGTGTCTCACAGCCATACAAGAAGACGGAGAAAACTGCGGCACAGTATACATATTCTTTGATCAATAGCCGGATGTCACAACTACTCCAGAGATGATTTAAGTTGGCGAGTGCCTCATGAGCCCTTCTCAAATAAGTGAAGTGGTTAACACGCTCCACCACTTCACTCCTTATCTTTAAGATGAGTCGATGCAGTTCACTTGAGTCCTGTAGCACCATCGTACATTTGACAGGAGCGATTCATATGCGAAACATTCGAAGGCTTGTTATCAAGGTGTTCAGAAGATTGCATTTTATCAGCGTTCGCACCTTGGAGGACAATATCAGTCGCATTATTTAGATTTACAAGACTATTTCCTGGTAACAAGTCAATCGCCAAGTCGCTGAAGTCAGTTAGCGTCAATTACATTAGTACATCTACGTTGGAATTAAAAAGAAATGGGAACATCTGGCATCCCTGACGGACACTACTGGTTGTAATTACTTTGAGTGACAACTCTCCATAAGTTCTTACCTGGCTACGTGAGTTCGGGTAGAGTGCCTTGATTATTGCGATGTATTTTTTGGCACTCCCTTCAGGGTCAAAAATTACCATCGTACCTCCCGATCGACGGAGTCAACTACCGCTTTCAGGTCAAAAAATATGGTAATTGTTGGACGCCAATAAGTGGGCCTATGATCCAGACATGATCAATACACCCTCCTCCTGGTCTAAAGCCTGCCTGGATTTTTCGCGTGTTTCTCCAGAGCGCCATTTAATTTGCGCATGATCATTTAGCCTAGAACTTTAGATACCATATTAGTCAAGCTAATCCCTTTATGACTGTTACAGGAAGACTTGTTTCCCTTCTTATGTACTGGGATAATCAATGACGTACACCAGTCTAAAGGGACTATTTCTGATTCCCAGACATTGCCTAATACCTCAGTTAACCTAGATAACTATTTATCATCGCCGCCCCTTAAACATCTCTAAAATTATTCTCTCAGTTCCGGCAGCTTTGCCTGGTTTTAGATTAGAGGCAGCTTTAGTAACCTCAGTTAGGGACGGAGGACCGGTGTCTGTATCCCATTCAGGGAGGTGTTGGATGCTCGGTAAGTTGAGCGTGGCTATAGGCCTGTTAAATTGCTCCTCAAAATGTTCTTTCCGATGTTCTAGTCGTCTACCCTGACAGCTAATTAGGGAGCAATTTGCCTTGGAGATTGTCTCATATCACTTGCTTTATGCCACCTGTTTCTCTGGTAAGCTTAAATAGTTGTCTGGCCTTACCTATCGCCGATTTCTTTTCCATCGCTTTCGCTTTTGTCGCCCAACAATGTTCATGATCGTTGCAAGGACTTTTTGACAGTTTGCGTCTGAGCAGCTTTCGCTCTTTATAATATTCGGAGCCCGCTATAATCAGTCTTCTTGTGTCTATCAGCTTAGATGAAGTAGCAGAAATCCACTGGCATTATCTAACCTTTGGTTTTAGGTTACCAACAGCCCTTGCAGCTGTTTCTACAGCTGACTGAATATTATGCCAGGCTTCTTCAGAATAAGTTGCTGTCAGTCTCCGATACGCGTTTAGTTACTTCTTCCTTATTTAAGGACTCAGTGTCCTGATCAAGTTAGGGGCGAAATGGCTTCACTGATTTCTGTTTTTTGTCTGTTCAATCGTAAACATAAAAGAGGGACAGTCTCCTACCGATCCTCACCAACAACAGCTTATCGCTATGTGGTATAGTTCAGTTCATCGTCGACTTGACGATGGAGGTCGCCAGGTTACGCGATGTCTCTCTTTGTGTCTGTAGTTCTCACCAGGAACAGATGATTATTTGCACAGAAGCGTAGAAGACGACCATCGCTGTCAGTCAGTCGGCAAGGAACTCCGTAGGTGTCACTAACATACTTCTCAGACTGATACAACCCCCCTACTTGAGCATTGAAGTTATCTGCTAAAACGACTACACTTGGGCACTTTACTTTTAGTAGCAAACTAGACAGTTTTTGATAAAAACTCATCCTTTATTTAGTCCAAACTGCAGTCAGTTGGGGGCGTAAACGGAGATTATCAAAAGACGAAGATATGTATCGCAGTCCTTCCTTGTTCCAACAGATTTGTTCAGATGGACAACACACATACAACTACCCACTGAGATCCAGTCAAGTATGGATTTTTCTCCCCTAGCACTCAATGCTATCCCCACATCCGCGAGTACCCGTGAACTAAACAAAGAATCTCTTGACACATGTAAGATGAATAAGGGACTATCAGTAGTGTTTTGTAGGTCTCGACATTATTGGTCACAGAATTAAGAGAAGATAGGGAACCTGCCTGTGGGACAGTATTAACAGTAGGAGGAAAGGAAGATGATGGCGACGTAGATAAAGGTGGGTGATAAACAGGAGAGCTTCGTGTGCTTTTGGGAGCGTGAAGGCGGCTGTCACTTCCAGACTGTCATACGTGAAAGTTGATTTTTTCTTGGGGTATGTGAAACAGAATGAGTGTAGCGTGACCGCAAAACACAGGCAGACAACTTCTTGAAGCCAGTCGCCCATGGCCTGTTTGAATTGATTATTAAAGTTGTGTCCCTATTAGGAACACATCACCTGCTACGGACCCGCCGTAGGGTAAGTCGGGATGTACGAACTTCAGGGTCGACCTTTTCTAACCCCCTTCTCCAGAGTGGAGAGGCAGTATACCTGAGATGCTAGTCATCTACGGAAAACATCATACTGCTGTCATACCCCTGTTCCCCAGCAATACGACTCTGCCCACAAACCTCAAAGAAGTGTGAACATCTCATATCATATCGGTAACTGCTTTTAGTATAATCGCTATCCTAACAACGTTTTAGGAACTCTAGGAACATTAGTTCCAGCCAATGTAGGTCGTTGAGTCATTGAGATATGTAAGTACGACCACCACGTTAAGGTAAAAGCTTTCGGTCGGGTTTACATTAAAATGGTTATTATACCATTACACCATTTACACTTAATGGCCATAATTCATTAAAAGGTAGAGCTTATTCCTGTCCTGTGTATTTAATGATTAATACGCAAACAGATAACTTATCACCACCATAAACTACTCAATATGCTGAAAGTGAGAAAAGCTTCTGCACTTAAGCCAAGGCTTAAATATCTGCCACAAGAGTTGGACTTACCATAAACAACCTCGGAGATAGTTATTTGATGAGGGAAATTTTGTGGATGACCGGAATTCAACATCAGCACAGGCAATCAGTTTTGGAGACGAGCAAACCCAGTCTACTTTTTGATAATCATCAAATACTGGACATTTAGGTTCGCCAGGTGGTAAATTACAGGAGTAACTTGCTTTATAATTATCTAATTCTTCTTCTGAAATACAATGATTTATTTCTAACTCAGAAGGCGATCCATTTGGTAACTCTTTATTAACTGCAGAATAATTATCAGTGTGAACAGATGTTTCCATGTGTATTGATTCTGTTAAGAACTGGTCAAATGATGGATCAGGTTCCTTTGACTCTATGTTATTTACACTTAAGAGATGAACAGGATTGCTATGAAGATTATTTCGTGTAATATCATCAACTGATTCACAACACTGTGATTCCAAGGAAATTGAGTCGGTGCATTTAAAAGCTTCACTTGAAGTGAGCCAATTGCCAGACAGGATAATATTTGTAGAATCATTCTTCTTATTGTCTTCATCGTTTTCCATCACAGTTAAATCATCTTTTACAGGGGAATTCATCATTTTCAGCTTTTTAAAACAGCTAAATTCGATATCGATATGATTTTAGATGCTGCAAAGAATTAAGTTTGGTTGTTATATTATATCAAAATATTTGCTCTATCAAACAACGAAAAGAAACCTTTTAGTGTTTTAAATAGATATTCTATTTAAAATGTTTTACAAATACTAAACAGAATGAGCTACTTGGTTAGCTATTTAATCAAGTTTAAGGCTAAATGAAACACCGCAAGAGCAACTTTTATCAACCTGTGGATTGTTGACAATATAAAAACCAGATCGAATCAATTCATCTTCATAGTCGATTGTTGAACCTTTGATCAAATCGAGAGAGACGTTATCAATGAATACGGTAACCCCATTCTGCATAATAATTCTTTTAAACTTCGTCTACTACTATTCAAAAACATACTGGTCATTTTCCTGAACTTTATCCGCAATCTCAAATTTATACTGAAATCCTGAACATCCCCCGCTGTCAACTACAACTCGCATAGTCACTCCTTTGGCTCCAATTTCTTTTAGTCTCTAAATATAGAATATTAGGGGAGATTTTAATTTGACTTACTTTTATAGACTTCTCAGTGAAAAATAAAGAAGCGTTTGAGGAACTTTTGCAAACTGGAGCACTAAGCTGAGCAAAAACTCCCCATGGAAAATTTCGTAAAGTCCCTGCTCTCAAAAATTGCATGAGCTGACTTTCTAACTACAGCAGTTATTCGGAATTAAAAAGTATCCAGGGTAATCCAATGGTGAGGGTCAGTAAAATAAGCTAACACTGACCATATTTTAGAAAATATCTGCTTTAAAAATTGAATGAAAAAGAATGTTTTAGAAGTAGGAAGTACTTAATTTGTTTAGTTAGAAACGAGGATTAGGTCTTTCTATGTTAACACGGCGGTTGAAAAATTAAAAACTAAGGCCATATGCTTCAACAGTAATTATCTGAAATTTCGCTCCCACAACCACTTGTTACTGGCTCAAACACGAGGCATAGGAACTTAATGTGCGATTCCCAACAGCACACCCACAACAAACACAGACCGTGTTCTTATAAACAATTTACTGAATTTCAGTCTGAGCCACATGGGGAAGTGTAGATTGCATGATTGATGCTGACGTGACCATCAAAAGCCATAATCAGGAATTAAGGATGATATTTCTCAGATCCAGCTTATGCGAAATGATACATACAGACGATAACTAAGGCATAACAATTTTCAAGAAATATATTAACCACTATTCACTGCTTAGCATCAGATACATATACTACGAACTAATGGAAGCCGATTGGCTTCATTACGCGCAACTACGTTAAAAATACATTAGAGACTAACGAAATTTTACTCGATTCTGTTCGTAAATTTCCACAATAAACCAAAACACTAATACTGAGTTATAAGGAACCAACGTCTACACAAGCAACGAGGGAAAAGAAATGTATGTGCAGAACTTGGGCGCTGTGTTAGTATGTAACTCAACATTATTTGTTTATTAGATATATCACACAGTGAAACAGTCCTGTTAACCATCTGCTCTGGTAAACTACAACATCAGTGGGATAACGGTTAAAAACAAAAAGGGAGTTGGCTGATGTTACATATCTTGCAAGACATGGCGAGTGCTGACTATCCGTTAGTTGGGAATGAAGACTGGTATCTAATCAAAATATAAAACGCTCATGATCTATAGTCACTCTCTTAACCGTTTTGTGACTTATTGTCTCTTAATTCTGATTAGTTGTGAAAGGTCAGCGGTAAGGCCTATAGAAGTGGCTAGCATAGTTTAATCTAACCAAGGTGGCCATATGGTAACACATAATACCAGTGATGAAATTCGGACCAACCGTCTTTAAGTTAAACTACACGCACCTACTGTAACACTCAAAAGCAACAGGCACCACCAGCGAAGGAAGAAGACGAAAATGCGAGAGGAAGGTCTTTATTTCCAGCACACAGGGTTCGAATTGTAGGTTGGTTGGACGATGGAGCATTAGGCCGGCGAACGGGGGTCACGGCGGCTGTAGTGGGTTTTGTTGACAATGGGCACAGAGTTGCTGGGTGTGGACACGTGGTCGTTCTCAGCGTCCATGAAACGAAGAATAATCCTCTGTAACTTGGATGTGTTGGTTGGAAGCTGACGTCGAAGGTTTGTGCGCAGGTCACCAGGCATCATTCTCTCGACGAAGCGTGTGCATACTAGTCGGTCTCTACTGGCGAGGTTATCGTGATTATCAAGTTCACCTGCCAGTAGCTGGACTTGATAATCACGATAACCTCGCCAGTAGAGACCGACTAGTATGCACACGCTTCGTCGAGAGAATGATGCCTGGTGACCTGCGCACAAACCTTCGACGTCAGCTTCCAACCAACACATCCAAGTTACAGAGGATTATTCTTCGTTTCATGGACGCTGAGAACGACCACGTGTCCACACCCAGCAACTCTGTGCCCATTGTCAACAAAACCCACTACAGCCGCCGTGACCCCCGTTCGCCGGCCTAATGCTCCATCGTCCAACCAACCTACAATTCGAACCCTGTGTGCTGGAAATAAAGACCTTCCTCTCGCATTTTCGTCTTCTTCCTTCGCTGGTGGTGCCTGTTGCTTTTGAGTGTTACACTACAAACGCGTAGCAATTACATTCTAAACGACCGCATATGTTTTCTCGGACGTCCAATATTCAGTTACAGATTAGCAGATTAAAGGTAGAAGGCTTGAAGCATAAGTTAATTCTTTCCCCACAAGTTTCTCGGCTTGCTCAGACCCTTCTTGAATGAGTCAACCAAGGTTACTGGCACCACTTCTGACAGTCGGTTAGAGGAGTTGATGACTGGGAGTGGCTTTTGAACTCTCCTGCTATGTCCTTCACGTCTAACCTTGTGGGAAGGAAAGAAGAGAGATCAGGTCTGTAGTCATTATTCAAAATTTTAAACGTTTTGCTGAGATCTCTTTGCCTGTGTTATGACTGTGAGGAGAGATTTAGACTGTTTAGTCTTTCCTCGCATGATTAATTAGTCATGCCTAGAATCACACGTGTCGTCTTCCTTCGAACACTTTCTAGAACATGTAAGTGCTCTTTAAGATAAGGAATGGGTGCCCAAATACCGTTTTCCAGTCTTCACCTCACTAGAGACGTGAATAAAGAAGTGAACATACCTCTGATTTTACTAAAGGCTCTGTAAATTGCCCATAAAGATGTGAAACTAGGCGCTGCCACCGCGCGAAAGTTTGCCCCAGTTCTTAAGCCGTGACTTGCTATGACGCCCAGATCCGAATCGGTATGAACTCATGGCAGCGGTATTCCCTTTTATTTGTACGAACTGACGCTTGCATGTCCAGTGTGCATGGTTGCGCATCTCGCTGGCTTGATAGGTAGAATCCATTCTTTGGAACACTAAAACGATTTGTTAAGGTCCCCCTTCAAAATTAGCGTATCACTGTTGGCCTTCAGATCCCTCCAAGTTTTAAAATCATCAGCATATAGGACCATAAGGAGAGTCAGTGAGCATAGATAACTCGTTGATATACGAAATGAATAGGATGGGCCCGAGTACATTGCCTTGTCACACTCCATACGTACTACTATCCAGGAGGAGAGATTTGAATAGACCATGACGTAGCTTTTTTCGACCTAGTTCAAGCCAAACTGATTTCTGTTAACTTGCTTTTTTGTATTGAGGAGCCTCTGTCTAGTTCATCAAGCCACTAGCCAACCATAGCCTCGTTAGAATCCGGGTTAGCCATATGAGTGATCGAGATTCAAGCTTTTGGCTAAGGATAGAAGGCTCAATGCCTATTATATAAATAAATAAATAAATTATTCTCATAGTACAGTACATGAGGGACGCCAGTTTACAGGCATCATCAAATTGTTACAGAAATAGAACCATATAATTCAATCACAATTTACAGGCAGTAGCAAGATATGCTTTACATGTTCGCTGGAGATTATACATACACTTCATAAATGTTAATCCCAGTAGTATAAAACAGCCTTTTCACTTATATACAATCATTTCTGTGCACAGCTGGAAAAATCTGCTAGATTGTCAGTAAGTGCAACACATAAGGAAATACAGAAGTATTGTCTTCGCATTAACAAAAAACCAGGTCTTTGGTGGATGGATTATAAGTGCCTGGGAAAAAAATAAAGCTTGAGGTCAATTTTCATATATAACTTCGTTGTGTGCAGAATCCTTGAATTATAGTTCACTGATGTGTTATTTTGAAATCAGTGATATGTTTATCTCATTTGATCTGCAATGTCATTGTTGGGAGTAAATATATAAGCTTCAGACGCATTAATTAATGGATTTCTACTGCTTGTGGGTATTTTCTTAGCGTGAGGAAGGTTTATGAATTTCAGCTGTTCCGACAGGAGTTGAGAATATTAACTGCTCAGCAACATTATGGATATAAGTTCATCACATTATCTAAGGAAAGGTGGGTTGCAGTTGATGAGGGATGTATGGTGCCCAACGAGTCCCCGTTGGATGAGTCACTTAGTGGCGCAAACACCAGTTCTTCTGGGAGTCGGTTCCAAGATTTACCGTCTCCCCCAAAATACCAGTAATCCACAGCCATGTAGTTTTTCCTTGGCTTTTGACTTTCTTGTTATTCCACCTGAAATCTTTTATCCTGATGGAGAGGAAAAGATAGGACAAACCGGGTACACAGTCGTTTACTAGGATTTTAAGGATCGTGATTATATCTCTACGTTTATGGTATGGCAAGGAGAAGAGATAAACTGTTATGTCGTTCCTCCCATGTTACATTGGTTGTACCAAGAATCATACATGCTTCCCCTTATTAGCACTTTTCCTTTTAACAGTGGCTGACCAACTGGATGTAGTTCTTTAGTTTTGACCTCACTGGAGTTATGAAGTGCTGAACACTCCACTTGAGTGTAACCCATAAGGGTCTAGAGCTGCCGGCTGCCTACCTGCGACAGTATTCCACCATTCAGTCACCACCAGTGACACCCAGATCCGTGTGCTTCTGAATTGTAGGTAATGGTACTAGCTGTGTGTTTTATGTGCTGACAGTTATGTGCCTGGTGCACATCGT